TGCGGGCGGCGCGCGCCCCCTCAGCGCCTCACGAGCCTGTGCGAGCCGGCGTGGTGCCAGGTAGGGGGGGAAGCGGGGAGAAAACGCCCTGTTGTGTCTGTCAGATGGATGAGGCGCTTTTAAAAAGTTGCTGGTGAAAGCGAGTTGAAATTCTGTAGGTATCGTCGACAGAGTTATTTTTGGCAGCTGTCGCAGGGGGTGTGTGTGTTTCTGAGGGAGTGTGAGGGGGATTAGTGCCTCCCTGCTGTAGGGTTCGAGGGCAAGACTTCATGTTTCCTTAATAGGAAGAAAGAACAAACCCTGTGTTTCAATATCTGTGTAGGAGTTTAAGTTAATGTGGTATGCTTTGCTTTGGGGTAAGCCAGAAGCCTGCAGAGTCAGCTCACGCCATGTGCTGTAAACAAATAGGTGTTTTTTACCTCTCTGCTTTGCTGATACTTCCCTCATCTGCTTGATTCTGACTAGAAGCTACCATCTGTGAGAAATTTATTGATGAAAGCGATCCTGCAGTTGGTCCCTATTTTGCGTCAGGCAAAATATGACAGGTCCATCAGGCCATGTTTATATATATGGATTTAATTGATATGTCTCATTTTTCCTGGAGTGGATGTCAGAATGTGAACGCCCTTCAGTCTGTGAAGATCTGTGGGGATGATAGCTTCAGTCTGGTGGGTTTTGTCTAGAGTCATCTATGCGGTTTGCACTCTGAATGTCAGGAAATTACACTGTATTTTATACCTATTTAAATTTGGCATGCAATAGTTTATTTAATCTTCCTGTAATGTGTCCAAAGGCCCATGTTAAGACTCCATATTGTGCGTGGAGGGAGAGTGCTGTGAGGTGAAGTAAGTTTAAATTGTGCTTGTAAAGTATTTTGAGGACTCTATGCGGATGCATATATCATGTATAAGTGCTGCACCATTAACTAGCGTAGAATCAAATTTAGAGTTGGTGAAAATAAGTCCAGTCTGTTGACTTCATTGGACTGGCAGAACTGCAACAGATGTCAATTTGATCCATCTTGTCTCAGGTACTGAAATGTGTCTCATGTTAATGGAAGGATATCTTCACCTTATCTCTTGGGTTTATTCTGTGACTGTTATGCAAGAGTCATCTTAGTTGCACAGCAAAGTAGCAGTTCCCACTTAATGAACATGACAGGTTGCCCACCTGATACAGAACCATGGCACATATGGTAGCCAACAATAAAGTGGAAGGAGCCAATAACCTTTTTTAACAGATGCGGGATGGGTATAGTAAGAGAGTTCAGCTTTCTTCATCAGGAAACACATAATTTCTCTGCAAGAAGTCTTTTCTAGAGTCTCAAGAATTAAATGTAAAATATAAATTCTCAGCTAATGAAAATCAGCATATCTCTGTGTACTTTTTTGAGCAATACTGAACTACACCATCTGAAGGTCTACTGAACTACACCATCTGAAGGTCTTTCTCAAATACTTTGGCAGAACTATCAGAAAGGTTTTGGTAGATCCATTTACATGAGACAAACATCTAAAATGAAGGAGAGCCCATTGGAGGAATTCTGTAAATATTTTGATTAATGTCGTTCAATGTACCTTATTCATTGGCTGAACAATGACTGCTGACAGAAGGGGCTATTCTTGTGCTTTGAAATTAGGCCAAGTCCAAAGCATGAAAAGTCAACAAATCTATACAGAGATATACTATATCAGTATTTCCAATGTGGATTTAGATTCTTTGCTTTCTGTCTCTCTCTCACCAGTTTAGCTGAGCGACTGCCTCTGACAAAATTAAAAAATCAAGGTGGTTATTTGACTTAGACACCACAAATCCTTAAGCAGGGATTGAGTAGTTTAAAAACATGGAGATAATATACTGACTGGAAAGCAGAATGGGAACCGAGATTTTATTTTTTTTTTCCTTGATTATTACTAGTTTTATTATTACTTTGACTTCTGTATCTGTTTCCTCATCTGAGTAATGGAAAAGTAAGATACTGCTCTCTTCACTTACAGATTTAAGAATTTGTCCTCAGTAATTTCCCAAAAGAGTTCAGATGAGTAGTCCAAATGAAAAATTACTTTCCATTTATATAGGAACTATTATACATAAATACAAGTAGATTAGAAATTAGCTGCTTCGAACTGTTCATAGTAAGGGATTTGTTATTTTAATGCTTAGAAGTTAAACCTGTAGCTTTGTGGCTAGCAATGGTTGGTTTAGGGATGTATTCTTGTCAAGTGAGAGCTGTTCAAATGGGAGAGAGCTGATAGCATAACTCAATTTGCACACCCAAGTCAATACATTGACTTACCTGTATTATTGCCAGAAACTACTAATGGAGTAATATTGAATTTCTCTTAACAGCATTTCCTATAGTTACATTGAAAGCTTGGTTTCCCAAATGAGACCTCTAAAGGAGTTGATATGTAATGCCCATGACACCATTGGTTTTGGACAATGATACCCTGTAGAATTCTTAAGGTTTCACCCTTGCTTACAGATTTACTTCTTTGCCTGATTGCTATAGTCAGTAGTCCTTTACAGCATTGACAATGTGTATTTTCAGCCATGATCTGTTTAGGTCTTTCTGTCTTGATCTGAATAGTTTTTAGGCAAAGACTATCTAAATAGTTTACGAGATTCTTGAAAATTTGTCATTGTTTTTTGATAAATCTTTTAAAAACATTAAGTGACTTGACCAGTAAAAAAAAAGGAAGAAATAAAATCCAAGTTTCTGCCTATTAATTTGCCACCTTCTGTCAACAAATATGGGACTTGATTTTTTTTGCTTAAAATGTAGGTGGCTGCTACCAGTTGATGATATACCTTAAGGTATTATGCCTTGCTCAGCCACCACTCTTCAGGGATGTGAATATTATGCGTGGTGTCTGTCAGCTCGTTGTAGATGTCTGCACATATCTCAAATGGCACCCAATATTGTATTTTGGCAAGTACGTGAATCCCACTCTCTACCAGATAAGACTGGAAAATTTCTTGCCATTCCCTGTTATTTCTTCAATGTACTTCTAGCGAACATCTATACTTTTTTTCCAATCTGAACTATTACAACTTCCTGTCATCTTGACTGTCAAAATACTTACCTGCTTTATAAATGAAAGCAGAACAACAAGGAAAAAGTAAAAATGACAGCTATAATGGGGAAAACATATTCTGTGTAATGCAGGTTAAAATGTTTCTATTTATAGCTCTACATATCATGTAAGTGTGGTGTTTTGTTCTGATTCAGTGCAAGAATATACCTATCATTATTAAAACCAAGCAAACAAAAAGAAAATCCAGAAACAGCAATATTCTTGTTTATGTTACCTACATTAAATAGTGATGTGTATATACTCTGTTGGTAGTGGGTTTATATCTACCTTGTACAACTGTGAATCAATGTAGCTTAACAATGCCTGTTTTTAATTGTTCAAACATAGTATCTCTTAAAGAGCTGCTTTTTCTCATTCTAATAGGTTGATAAAGATGCATTGGATACCCAGGTCAAGGATAGGAAAATTCAAGAAGCAGCTGAAAAAGCACGAAATGAAGAACTTGGTATGTTCATAGATACTGTGATATTTCTGTGAAGAGTTAAATGTAATTTACGATATGTTTCCTGCTTTCTTTTTCCCTTCATATATTTCAACTGCCATATTTATTTCCAAATGGAGCCTATCTCCTTGAATCTTGCTATATAGCTCTATCTATATAAACGTATCAGTCAATATATATATGTAAGCACAATTGTAGGCTTTTCTCTAAATTCAGACATACGAACTGGATACTATAATGTGTAGTCCTATTTATGTTCATACATTTGTATAGGTACAGTATGTGTTTTCCTTAGCATCTTAAGATTTATATTGACGTGATTAAACTGCTATACATTTCCTAATAGGCCGGAATTTTCAGTGTTTTCTTTTAATAAATGTTGACAAATAGTATTGTTTAGAGACCTGAAGATACAGGAGCATTTTAAAAAAACCCGTAAATTACTTAATATTGTTCTTTTCAGAACAGCAGTGGCAAATCTGTTTGATTGCTTTCTTGTAGAGTAAGCCCATGTTCTGTCTGGCCATTCTTCAATAGAATATATAGATTCTATAGAATCCTCTATAGATTATTATTGCTAGAAGCATGAGTCATGTACAACAGGACTGTACGTAGGAGCCATTGCTGAGTCAGAACACGTAGCCGAACAAATATTTCAGCCGTGTCCCCTGACCTCAAAACCCTTTGTGGCCCTCTGTGTTTTGAATGCTTTCCTGTGGTATCATGTGAAAAGGTCCCACAGACTGAGCTCTCTGTGGGTTTCAGGAAGAGCTAGAACAGAGCTGCCAGCTTCCATGCTGTGCTTCTACGGCTGCTTGTGATTTTCCTGGCAGAATACCTGTCAGACTCTGACTCCTAGGAAACTGCCAGAAGCCGTGTGTCGTCTGGCAACAGAGGAAATGAT